AGGTTGTTGCCAAAACAATTTCTGTTCGGAGATTCCTAAATTGGTGGTAGGCGTGTTAGAAGAACCAAATAGAAATTTTTTCTCCTTGTACAGCAACGGATCTTTGGTTTCGTGTTTGGCAAGTGGTACGTGTGGCCCATTCCGGTCGCCATCTTCTTCTCCAGTGCCATTGTCTTTATTTTGCGATGGAAACAGCTGTGAACTAGCAGGAGAAAAGGCAGGACTCATCCCTAGCATCCTCTGGCAGGATGATTGGATCCCTGAGGAAGGAGAAGCCGTGGACTTAAAAGTCGAAGAGGCCAGGCCTGCTGAACCCTTTCTTGGGGTTAGATTGTCCACAAGTGGTGCCTGGCTGTGCTCACTGTGATTTCAAAACGAAAAGTGTTACGCAAATGTCATAACAAAATCTACACCAACGCAATTCTGTAGCGAATCTCCCACAAATTATGCAAGTAGCTAAACTGGCCAAGCATTGATGCCTACACTAAAAATTTATTTCTCACCTATCAACTGTTGCTAGTTCACAAAGGCTGGTTTCAGGTAAGGAGTCCTCATATGCAAAGAAGTTATCCGGCAGTTCCAGCAGTCGGGCTCTTTTTCTTTGCTCATTTGTAACTACCTTTTCAAAGACAGTCACAATTTCATAATTAGATTTCTTCCGTGAGGTTTTCGAGTCAGGAAGTTTGCATTCTGGATCTGGTGGATGTGGAGCCTGATCAAAGCTGGGCATAGCTTGACACTTTGAATGGTTCACTTCTTGAGGTGACTCGTGAAGTTTATTTTCTAATCCTGTCAGTTTGTTGAAGACAATCCTTAGCTGAGTCTGTAACTCCTCTTTAACGGCAACAAGCATCTCCTACGATTGCGGAAAAAAGGAAACACAATTTAAAGGTAATCGGAAAGAATACGCTTATTAGGGAAGTTTTCAATTGGGCTAAAAACGAAGGTAGCCACAACGGATGATGGGAACTAAGGTTGACATCATCATCAGCTAATGGCAACACAAATTAAAAACAAATAAACTACTTGAAGCGCCGGAAAACGCGAGTGATCAAGTCGTGATTAGTTTTCAGTTTGCATCTGATTAGTCGAGAAGGTGGGCTTGCGCGAGTTGTCTGGACCAATCACAGTGGGACTGGAAGACTACTTTCTACAATAATTTCAAAGTTTCCCCATTTAGGTAATGCAGTGAGAATGAGAAAGGTTCTTTTCGATGAGAATTTGTCTTAAAAGGATAGGTATATGTCTTTGTGCTTGACTTGGATAGTTACTTTATGATAACCATGATAGAGCATGATTTTAAGTGCCTGGGACCTGTATAAAGCGATCAAATTAATAATCTACATCTTTCATCGTGAAAGAAAGAAAATGTTTTACAGTACATGCTTTAGAAAGGTGCAGAGTCTCCTTAGGGTATAGAGTTGTCAAATATTCGTATGTATTACTGCTTGGAGGTGTAAAACGATAGGAAACATTCATAAATATTAAGTGGAAAAGACAAAATGTTTTGTAATTTCAATAAAAGTTATTTTACGTTTAGGAAGCCTTGAAATTCTTTCCGCGAAGCCATTTCAATCTCCACTCTGGAAAGGATCGTTTCCAGTCTTCCCATGCTGTACTTAGTTATTTCCCTCTCTTTGTAAAGAAGGCTCTGTGAAAAAAAAGGAAACGTGGCGGGATTTGCGGCTGAGCACATTCGCTCAAAATCATGAACCAAAGATTTACTGAGTAGTAGCTGGCGGCATTCTAATCATGCTTTCCTTCTTCCTGCTTTTCGAAGTCCTGGCATCCGTGACGATAACAAATGTAATGGTAATATGGAGTTTGGACCTCGGTGGAGTTCATCTACTGTTACTTAATAGAGGAAATTTCTTGTGAAAAATTAACATTTACAGAGTTGTGAATTACCAATGTTTTTTGTCGACATTTTGGGTTAGAAAAAATGTCTGTCTTAAATGAGCCAAGTTGGTAGAAGCTTGCATTACTAAAGTAAAGATTCAAACAGTAAGGCAGTCTATTCACAACGCGATTCACAGCGATCAGAACAACACGTTTTAATTGATATTGTAACCAACAAAGTTGATCCTCAAGCACACCTTGTACTCCTCTATCTGCTGTGTCATGGACTCAAGTTTCTGTGCCAGGTGATTACTTGACATTTCTTTCTCTATCATCTACAAATGGAAGTTAATAAGAGATCGATTTTTAGCGTAAATCATTTTTTAGGCGGATATCAGCGGAAGAGAAGAAAACCCGAGGATGCACAAGTGGAAATCATACCAATGGAGTCCCAATGTGAATTATAGAGAGGAAGTAACTCACCTGTTTTCTCGCATCCGAAAGCTCTTCGGTTGTGTTTACCAAAACAGACTCCATTTTGATTGCCCTTTCTTCCAGTTGCTGGCGTTGATCATCAATAATATCTGCAGAAAAACGAGAAGCCATATTGCTCAATTTTCCAGCGAAATCGAGGTTCAGTTCCACAAGGAGAACAAAACAAAACATAAGAATGATCAAACAAGCGCAACAGCAAAAATAAATTTATCGTTTTTATTTTGGTTTCACAAGTGACAACAAAACGACGAATGGAAGTACTTGGGTTTTCGTTAGCAGGATTTCCTTCCTAGTTCCACTGCATGTAAAGTTAGAGATAAAGCAATTTAGATAGGGGATTTGTCGATGCGGTACTAAGTATACATCTCGCCGTTTGTAAATGTAAACACATACGTGTTACTAACCTATCTGAGCCTGACATCCCTCTAGTTTCCTCTCCAACCGAGCAATCTTCTCTTGAAGTGCCCTTTCCCTCTCAGAGATACTTTTCTCCTCATCCATTTTGTGGCTAAGAAAACTAGAATTACGCCATCACTCAGCTTAAATCTTCCAAATCTTGATCTCTACACAAAATGAGAAGAAAACCCCTTAGACATGAGGGCAAAACGAAGCATCCCGCAACAGCCTTATCTTTATGCCTCATCAAGAATGTTACCAGCCTTTCCAAATCAGTGGAAATACATAGGGAAAGAGACACATTACCTTGCAAAGAATAGCTACTAAGTACATTAACCACTTAAATAAACGCCTTTTATAATGCTCAAGGTAAAGGTTTTATGTTATTAATCCATCGAAAGTGAGGGATGTTTGATCACGGACAACTTGTTACATTCGTTGAACATTACGCGAGCATCAGGCTACATGAAAACCACCTCAACAGAAATAAAGACAGAGGGATGACAAAACATGTACGGATTTTCTTAAAACGATATTTTAATAGAAGGCCTTTTTTTAAGAGATTTCCGAGAAATCCCGGAAGTCAAAGTTGTTGCAAGTTGTGAAGCATATTAGCGTATCAAGTAATTATCGACGAATTAGCATATTGAAGATAACCATATCGAAACCAATTACATTTCTATAAAATGCAAGCTTCACATACCGAAATATTCTGGATCGGCAACCCTTCCTTGGCTGTTTGAGAATTACAGGATTCCACACACCAAATATAAACACAGGACACCTTACTTTCACTCATTATCAATCATTGTGCTCAGCGGCAGATGATTGTAATTCATGCGTACAGTCAAACGCTTACTGGCGGTCTTCGTACTTCAAAATCTCTCGAGAGTGAAATTCGATTCTCATGGTAGAAATGTTCGACAAAGTTTGACAACCTTTCTATTTGATTTTAATTCATCTTTCTTGTACTGATATCTAGAAAGTATGGAGTGGACGAAAGATGAGATCGATAAATACGTAGCGAAAGTCCGGCGACTCTGTGCACACGAGGTAGATGTCTCATTTGCACGCATTTTCCTCCGGTTTTATGTCCAGCTCTGTTCAGAATTTTTAACAGTGTCCTCGGCTTAACTTTCAGCCAAATAAAAAAGGGTTTGCCTTTGCTAAGCTGTACAAGGAGGTATCGGACTATGAGAGCGCAAAGAGGTTAGTTATGTAGAACTTGTTCGAAACACTTCCTCTATAGGATTTGAGGAGTTTTGGACAACTTTAGCTGTACGTTGGCGATCGAGTATATTTCTCTATGAATTCCCGGTGAAACTAAGCGAAATTTAAAGTCAATCCTGTCATTAATCTACCGAGGCCTTTTTCGGTGGGTGATCATGATCGATTTTGTTACCCCTGCACTGAATATCACAGGGAAAGAATATGTGGTTTATCATTGGAAAATCCAAGGTTTAAATTTCCAATATTGGATGATTGGGAAAACTAGGGTCTACTGTTAAAAATCCAATAACTTTTCAACAAGGGTTTTTCTCCTGATGAGGTGGTTGGAATATTATTGGATTTTAATACATAGATACTTTCACCTCTTTTGAATCAATTGATTCCCCTCATACTAGGGTCCCTCTCAGCCCAGGAAGGGCCTCACTGCTCTGTTATCTAGTGAATGTGTTGCTATAACTTCCCTGATTAGCCTCTCAAATACGTGACCTGGATGAGGAAAGTTTGGTGAGGATGTAATGATATATCTAGAGCACTGCCATGATAATTTAAAATAAAAAAGTGTCTGCTTTTTTCCCTCGTAAGATATCTTGAAGCTTACATTAGTGAAAAGGAGACTGACTTTAGGTAGGTATTATTTACACATATGTCAAAGAATGAAAAAAAAAATTTGTGCTTGACTTTGATTGAGAAGTTCTAGGCTAGTTCAGTCTCAGATAGTTTCACAGCTGTATTCATGTATTTATAAGGGTTTTTTTGCAACATAATTGTATCTGGGTTTGTGCTCAGGAGTGTCAGGTGCTAATCATACTTAATGTTTCCATCCTTTTGATTATTTATGGCATGTACATTTTGTTGTTTTGTAATGGTTATGGCAGTAGCCATAAAAAACCTTAGAAATGATACTTGCAGAATGCAATACTCTTGTCTTTCCCAAATCACA